TAAGAAAGGAAAGGTTACAATGGTCCAAAGAAGCGCTACATGCGTTGTAACTTCAATTACCGCAGAGAAAATCTACTTCAAGATGCCTTTACCTGCTAACACCCCTATCGAGGAACTGGATTTCCGCAGAAATTCAATGCCTCTGGTCTTGCTCCTGCAACTGAGCATCTCTGGTCAGACACAACAGATGAAGATGCTCGATAAGGAATTCCACGACGGTTTGCGCAAGGCTGGATTCAACTTAACTTGGGAACTTTCGCCCGGCAGTGGCGAGGTTGGGCTGGATGGATTTTTGTTCACCCGCCAGGCGTCAGGAACCAGTGCGTTTGGATTTGTTCTTGAGACAAGTGTCATCTTAAACACCCTATAGTGATTGATATCGGCTGTGGTAAGCTAATCATCGAAGGCAAAGTCAAGGTAGGTCTTGTATTCGTTTTCCGAGGGCTGTCTAATTGTTGCGATACGCGCAGATAAAGCAAGGCCAAGAAATCAGTCACTTCGATAAAGATGGAATTACGTTTAAAGACGGCTCCAAGCTTTCAGCAGATGTTATCGTCCTAGCGTATGGTCTGACTGGTAGTCTCTCGTCAATATTTCTCACGCACGTTGCAGTACAGGAAATGAACCCATCATGAAGACTGCGAGAGCTCTTCTTGGCAATGAGATCACCGATCGACTTCTTCCGCAGGAGGTAATGGGCCTTGACTCGGAGGGAGAATTCAATCAGACATATCGACCCTCTGGACATCCGGGACTTTGGTTTGCTTCTGGTGGATTTGGATCGTCGCGTTTCCTCAGTAAATGCCTGGTGGGCTACCTTCCTCTGTCTGTCTGTATATCTCTTGATGAATTCCATGATACAGAGTCTCCAGATCTTGGCAAGAGAGCTCGTTATAGCATGACAAAAGCTTGCTGTTACACATGATATAACTATATTGCAGGTCAGAATCACAGATGGGCCGACGTTATGACTACCATGTAACATAAATGAGAGAAGACTAACCATGCGAAGCAGTAGCTCTATATGTACCAATCTAACGCGTTGTTTTCATTCCGGCGACTGATACAAGACCATTTTGATGAGGCTTGCACACGGCATCTATCTCACTGGCTGTACACGTCGACAGTCGAAAGTAATCTGGGTCATGATTGTCCACAGCTGGCGGGTCTCCAGCGAAAAGTCGAAGTCAGGGACAAGTATTCAGGGTTCACTCTGTATAAGGAACGATTATCTTCATTCTACATATCAGAATTTCACTAATCCCGGTATGCGACGTCAGATATGAGATGGCCATGACCATGTAATGAGGATCTTCAACTGATACGGTTGCATACGGAGATTGCCCCAGTGCTTTTGGTACGGAGTCAATGGCTGGTCGTGAACGTGAATGTTCAGCAGTTCCAAACCTGTCGATAGACTTGCTGGCAATACGCTGGCATTGTATCTATGCCTCCATTGGAAGGCACATCCACGCCACGCGAATCCAAAAGAAAAATATAAAAGACCAACGATCACTTCCCTGATCCCATATCGCACAAGTCACAAACAATGCATTTCTCCTCTGCAATTGTCCTCGCCGTCATTACTACTCTAGCATCATCAATCTCTGCCATTCCTCTTACCGGTGACACGGATAGCGCCGATCATTGTGCCAAGGCTTGCTTTTGGGACTCACAATGCGACAGCTATCAATGCACTTTTAATCAATGCGTGAGTATCAGCATTTTCCTGGACTTGATAACATGACTCACCTGCATGGCAGACCTTTTTCGTCTGCACTGTGAGTCAATTTTCTGCTTTCACATCGGTGCAGTATGGCTTTTGACACTGACGCGCGAGTTACTAGTGATTTGCAGAGTTGATCAACGTTTAACGCGCATCAGGACATTACATGTCCACTTACATACAGCTCTTCGCATATTAGAGTTAGAGTTAGCGCGAAATTTTCGTGAAATACAGTGAATGTTAGACAAAGATGAGACGTACGAGGACACATGAATACTATCAAGGGATCGGATTAGTCTACAGCGCAGCCTCACACTGTTGGTGTGACACGGACGGGCTCGAAGATCAAATATAAGTATGTATGCGCGCGATCATGATGGACCTGATAAAAAGTTAAAAACACACCTAGGTCCTGTATACCGTACAGCCCCCCTACTCCAATAGTTGATTCAAGAATCATGATGCTCACGATGTGATTGGAAAACACGGCTTGAAGCAGGTTTTCTGCTCAGATATTGCATGCCTGCCTAGATATTGTCGAGTGTTGTTGAAAGGTTGAAAGTCGATTCCCTGGCAAAATAAGATGATTGTTTCGGCAAGCTGAGTACACGTTCAATGATGAAGAATGGGATAAAATTCTAAAAGGATTAGGCTAACATCATGTACGTAGACTACTAGAGAGTGAGTACGGGGCACGATGCAATATTTATAGCTCTTTTTCGGAGCTCCGGGATTTTCCCGTCGTTCCGGAGTCCGGACTGAGACAAGCCGAAGGAATGCTGAACTGTTTCGTTCGAAGCATTCTATCATCATTGAAACTCAAAGGCTGTCACGAATGTTCTTGATATGTGAGCATTCCTCCCGTCATGGTACTACCGAGCTGTCGACTGAAAGTGTCCTCTTCTTCCACTGTACCATCGCCGACTTTGATCGAGTTTTTCGCTCGTAAATCACTCAATCACCCTCTAACTACAGGCGCACACTCGGTCTACACTCTAATTATTAGGTGGGTGTTTATCACAGGTGCGGTGGTAACGGAGTAACATCCTTTATAGATGACTTTCTAACATCAAAACATTTTATCGTAGGATACAAGTGAACTACGCTAGAGACATAAAGGCAGTGTAGGGACGTGTCAAGGGATCACCAGTGCTTTTAGTACCGGCAGAGTCGACTACTAATGAACCTTAACTAGTACGAAGATCTGCTGGCATCATAAGTATGCTGGCACAACAAGAATATCGCTGAGCAGTGAGCACATAAAAGCCAGCTATCTTCCTACTATCTTCCTCGGAATTTTCCAATCTCACCCCATATCACAAGCAATGCATTTCTCCTTTGCAACTGTTCTCGCCGTCATTTCTCTAGCATCATCAGTCTCTGCCATGCCCGCTGACGCGGCTGGCACCGGTGCATGTCCTGAATATTGTTACGTTAACTCAGATTGTCACATATGCAACAAGGAGCAATGCGTGAGTATCAATAGTTTTCATGGATTTGACAGCGTGACTCACCTGCATAACAGAACTTTTTCTTCTTCTGTTCGGTGAGTTATGTTTCTGCCTTCAAATCGCTGCAGTATGGGCATTGACACTGACGCTGTCGATGTGCGAATTATTAGTGATTTGTATAGTTGACCAACGCACCGTCAGGACAAGCATCGGTGGAGTTCGTGTGGTTTTCGGTTGATGGTTCTAAACGAATAGTTTCATTTATTAAGGTGTAGCTTCGGGTGTGATTAGCCTTGAAGAAATGACGAACAATTTTATCATATAGTTTGTAAGAACTTAGCAATGAAACATCTAAACATCGAATCCTAGCATGAACCAGGCTACAAGGAAACTATGCTATGGAGTGCGGAAACGTGTCAGAAGAAAATATTAGAGCAGCTCCGTCGACCATAGAGTTGGTGGGTTTCAGGTCTTGGAGTGGAAGTGAAGGAAAATGAAGAGATGGGTCCCATATCACATCCTAACTCACAATGCGTTTCTCCTCTGCAATTGTCCTTGCCGTCGTTGCTGCTTGCCATTTAGCATCATTAATCTCTGCTACACCTATCGATGCTGACGCTGAGAAATGTGGCTTCTTTTGCTGGTTTAATTCGCAATACAACACCTACCTGAAGCGCAGGTTTGCGTGATGACCTGACTCACCTAGTACATAGCAGATCCTTCCTTTCTGCCATGTGAGTCGTGTAGATTTTAAAGGCGAGCGGACGCGTCGGAGGGAGCTAATAGAATGAAAAACGATCTCAGTACTTGGGACAAGACTCTGTATATTCGGTATATGTACCTAATAGAATGAAAAACGCTACGAAAGACATTAGTTATTTCGTACGTCGTGTAACTAATGGTACTCACATCTCAGTACTTGGGACAAGACTGAGATGCGTCTAACTATCTGGTCCTGGCTATAAGGTAAATCGAGCAGGAACATATATTAATCAAAGACACGAAAAATAAGGGAGGGCACGAGCCGCTGTCAATGCGCGCTCGTCCGTTTCCGCTTTAGCATGCGCTCGTACCTCACGTCTCGGACTCTTCGGCATTCGACATCTCGGAACTCTCGCATCTCGACAAGTCGTGTTCGTGTTTCTGCTTTCACAATGGGTAACGACGCTCACGCACCAAGTCCCCGACTCCCATCTTTCCTAGAATTCATCATGCTCAAGTTACTGCCATGCAGAGCATGACAACTCGTGAGTCGCAATCAGGCAATGCAAAATCGGATATGTGCACGTGTAGCCTCATGTATTCCATATCGGGCATTTGAGGAACCGCTACCGGCGCTGGACGGCTATATGCGAAAGGGAGCTCGCACATCTTGTTAGTAATGGGAATCTGTTTGCGTTCGACAAAGCCCTCCCTCCACTAACGTGGTCGGGGACGACACAATATGACCGCTGGCACTGACATGCGAGTTACTATTACTAGTGATTGACCGAGTTTATCAAGGTGAATCAGCCCTTTGCATATCAGAGTTGACGCGGAACTTTTGTTCAATTGGCAAATGTCCATAGATAAGACGCCGTGTAACAACACCAAAAGGACGCTGCAGATTAGTCCACGGCGCCGTCTCGTGCCGTCGGTGTAATATAACTTGTATATTGTACAATTAAAAGTATACTAGTAGTATAAAGGACTGAAGTAGTAGATGCGCACAACTGACCTTATTCCTGCTCTCTGAAGGATCATAGCACCACAAGTCGACACCGGTCATCCAGTCATGTCTGTTGGTACTGCAAAAGAGAACCCAAGGGAGAATTACTACGTCTAAACCGTCAACATGGACGCCCCAGCACCCCTTGCACCACAGATGCAGCCCTTTCAGAGGACGTATGGTAACCCTGTATGTCTTTCATGATTTACTACTACTATGTCAACTGCATGTAATTGGCTTTCAGGCACCTTTGGGTATGCTGGCTTATGGTACCGTCTTCTTGTGCTCGCCAATATTGACGCTCGCCTCCAAAAGCGTTGGTCAACCCAAATTGGTCTTGGTTTTTGCTACTTTGTCAGTTTTCATTACTCGCAAACGATCTGATTGTAACCTAGTCATTCAAGCTACGGCGGCATCTCACAAACGCTTGTGGGCATGTGGGAGATGTTCCTTGGGTATGGTTCTGACCTTTAGATGGAGAGCTACCACTAAAAGTTTTCCACAGTAACACGTTCAGTGCAACAGTATTTACTACCTACGCAGGTTTCAATTTCTCTTTTGGTGCTCTCTACCTACCTCAAATCGGTCTCGCGTATGTTGTTTGCAAGCATTGATGCATGTCCTCTCTCGCATACCTTTCAGGGCTGCATACACTGTTGACGTGGTTGTTGGGCAGGAGTTCTACAACGCCATCGGGATCTACCTCGCCATCTGGGACTTGATTACGTTCCTCTTCTTGTGAGTCTGAGGAAGTATGCTTTGCAGACACATCCTTAATAATCTTACAGCCTTGGCGCACTTCGCACAACCGCCCCCATCGTTGTAACGCTCGGATTCACCATTTGCGCGCTCACGTGTCTTTCCATAAATACTTTCACCGGTGCGTTTTTTTTGCCTTTCTAGTATTATGTCCTGTCTGACGTGCAATACGTAGGCAACCCACACTTTGCAACTGCAGGTGGTGCCCTTGGCATCATCGCTTCCTTCGGTGCATACTACAGCGCCTTCTCGCTCTTCTGGACCCAACAAACAACGTTCTCCTTTATTCGCCTCCCTCCCCTCATCACAGCCCCTTCTAATGTTTAAGTACTGTGCTATTAGTCTTCAGCCGATCGCTATTTATTTTCTTCGGTTTCCTTTCTCAACTACGTCTCCAGTCTGGTTAGCGCATTTGTATTAGATTCTACTTCTGGCGGGATGAGGTTCGGCGCTGAGTAAAATACAACTATTTACCAGTGCCAGCTTCGGTTCTGGTTTGATTAGTATAATAAATACAGCCAGTCGTGGGTTGAAGTCTTATCTGGGGCCTCAACGTTCAACGACGGCGCTTGGAGGGGGACAGAACGTATCGTATATCTGCGCTAGCGTATGCTCAGGCACATTCGAAAATACCACACCTGGATTGGATTGCTCGACTTCAAAAGCGACTGAAATTCTTTAGTGGATACCTTAATAAGGGAGAAATATGAATCGCCAGGACGAGGCCACAATAACAGCGAGAGTTTGGTCAGGTGCGACAATAGGTGTCATCCTCGACAAAAGCTGTATTAGCTCCAGAGGTAAAAACGATGACGGCTAAGTCGTCACCGTCATGCAAAGTAAGGTAACCGTAGGTGGTTACCAGCCATGTACGGTTGATAGTGTCATGAAACAAAACGGAGGAGCAACTTGCAAGTGAAAGGAAGGATTGCAAACACGCAGCACAACCGCATGACGGCATTGACACCGAGCCGGCCATGTGAATGAAGGTGAGACTCGCTACTGTACTATCTTTTGCAAGATAAATTGCGCAAGTCAGAGATCAATGTGAGCTTGAACCACCACAAAGCAAGGGTCACTTTGTCTCATCCAGCATCATTCTATCCTCGTCAGACTCCGATCTAAATAGACGACTCACCACAATTGACTTATTCACCACTCCAGCCCGTGCTCAACAGCATGGGCCGTGACACCATCCAGCTACCCAAACAACCCTCAACGAAGACAAATCACAGGGAGCTCAGGTGCTCGTGCGCAATCAACCTATCCTGAGCATATCAAGAAATACTTCGCTTACGATGCGCTTTCACCGGGAGGATGGGCAGAAGAATAAGTATGCGATGGTGATCGAAAAAGGTGGGGGAAGAGCAGGCCACAAGTGGTGGTTGGTGCTGGAAAAAGATGGTTACTGCTTAGAGTTTCATCCCTGTAATACTATGTTAGGACGGGGTAGCAACGCCTCATGATTCAGTTTGCTTGATAAGGGGCACAGCGGGATAGCAGGGTGGATGCATGTTCGATTGATGCGAGGGCATACTCAGATCTGAATAGCATATAGATGAGGAAAACCGCAACGGGAGCGACTCGTTCTCGTCCCTGTAACGCGAACTATACTCATCACTGGAAGTGCATCATCAGCGTCCACGCACCTAGGAGTAACAGCGAAAGACTGACTGCATAGTATGTTATCCTACTGCGAGAAAATTGGTAATATGGATGTGCCGCGCCATTCGCTGGGTCACCAATAACACATATATGTGGGAACGATGACTGTGCTGGCGCAGATGTTCAGAGGGGCGGATCAAGATTATGGAGGTACCAGGATTCAAGCATCGATAGAGGGATCTTCAATCACTGGATCCACACCAAATTTGCCAAAAGTCCCTTGGGTCGCAGTCTGCTGGCATCGCAGAGATTATGTGGTCGAATACGACACAACCACATTTCAGGAGACCTTCAAAGCCAGAACGTTCGTTCGACGCGAGGCTAGTAAGGGAATTCCAATGGATAGGTTCTTCCCAAAACCAGAATGGACATTATCCAGTATATAAAAGCGAGGTATCTTCCTACTAACCCTTCAGATTTATTTGATCCCATACCACATCCTCACACACAATGCGTTTCTCTTCTGTGACTGTCCTCTCCGTCGTTGCTGTTTTGGCGTCATCAATCTCTGCCACGCCCATTGATGCGGCCCCCAATAAATGTCCTTGGACTTGCCAGTCTGACTCAGACTGCTCGGACTGCTATTACAGGTTTTGCGCGAGTATCAGTAGTTTTCCTGAATTTGATACACGACTCACCTGCACGACAGGACTGGTTTCTCTGCAGAGTGAGTCGTATTTCTGCTTTCATATCGATGCAGTATTGGACGCGCAAATTGCTAGTGATCGGTCAACGTGCATCAAGAAAGTATCGGCCCAATTACTACACAGCTGGCGTGAATTTTTCGTTCAACTAGGAAATGTTCGAGTCTGTAGATAACACGTTGCTTGAAGAATAGTAGGACTATAAAGGAAGGTGTAGATCAATCCACGGCGCAGCCTTGCATTGTCAGTGTGACTCTTGAGTACTGAGTCTTGTTCCGAAGACGGCCTGTAGATCGTACCATTATAAGTATACGAGCGAGGTCATCCGAACAAAACGATGCCTGGTTTTTTTTAGCAGCGCTGCGAAAGGTACTGCACTTCACGTTCGCTGCTTCCGATGTTTCTCGGGACCCTGCCAGGCTGTGGTCAGCCGACTGGTTTGGGAGAGGCGATTCCCACTCACAAGAAGACTTTGACTGGCTTGTAGACTACATCGGCTTCATTTATTCCTTCGACCACGAAGCAGCATATGACATCCTTTTACTACTGGGTAGTATGGGAGTGTGTTGCAGCCCCGCTAAGCGACATCTGTTCATCAAGAGGCTCATCGCCTGCATGGACAGTAACATGCCTCTCCCTTTACGCCACGCCGCTCTTCGCGCTGCTCACAGTGCCCGAGAACAAATCGCTTCGATCGATGACATTGATGATCCGACGCTACGGGACATAGTTTTGACCGAGCTCTCCCCCGCTATTCTGACGCAGATGATGCTGTCAAAGGACATGAACTCGCCTTCATGGAGCGTGGTTGCCTGTTCAGATGAAACTGCGACACGTAGGCCACTCAGCAGGGCGATGTGAGAAAATTGTTGGATGAACGTTGGGTCCGGAACTGTGGCGAAGGATTCAGTAGTGCGATCGACTAGCATGAGTGATGCATACCTCCATAATTACTTTTTTAAGGACGTCCGAGAAATGCAGCACAATGGAGGTGTCTGGGATGATGAAAGACAAATACCCGATGCCTACGGACGCAAATTCCGGGCCCTATAAATACCACACACTCATCAGTTACGCCACAAACAAAGCGTAGCATCGAGACTGAATAAAATTGGACAGGAACACTGACGCACTTCAGCAGGGGCGTTGACTAGTAGGGTAGGGAACGAATATATTTTGAACGACTGTCCTAAGTGCCGAGCTTTTGAGCTTGAAAACTCTTGATCGGAGACCACAAGCGAAGCAGGAGGAACCAAGAGAGAAGCCTCTGCAATTGACGAACTCGAAGCCATGCAGTGTTGTATGTTGAAAATATACCACGGACAGCAAAAACTGATCACGGTGAGAACAAAAAAGGGAAAGTCGGATGATGACTAAGAACGAGCCCATGCGGACAAACATTTGTTAGTAGCTGGCAAGATCTGCTGGTAATAGTATTGCAGGTATACATGCACAACCAGTGCGCACATACGCAAGAATTTCGACAAACAGCACATAAAAGCTAATCATCTATCATAATGATGTGGTCCCGTCTCACATCAGTCACAAACAATGCGTTTCTCCTCTGCAATTGTCCTCGCCGTCATTACTACTTTAACATCATCGATCTCTGCCACGCCCGCTCAGAACCCAGCAGGCGCCGATGATTGTCCCTTGCCTTGCTTCACTGATGAAGATTGCACAAAGGCCTGCCTCAACTACAAGCTACGCGTAAGTATCAATAATTTTCCTGGATTGGATAACATGACTCACCTGCATGACAGTTCGATACCAACTGCTATCTAGTGAGTCGTGTTTCTGCTTTCACATCGGTGCAGTGTATGGTTGTTGTGACACTTATTGGTGATTTGTAGGGTCAGTGATCGTCAATCGATGCACCGTCAGAAGTTGGCGTAATTTTCTGTCGATCGAGAAATGACTTGAAATACTACTAAACAAGCGGTCTGTTCACCTTCGGACGTTTTCTACCGTGAATTACAATAAGAGATGGGCCTGTACACTACGTTCCCCGTTGTCTTTTTCTCTTCATTCTCTGTTGCAAACAGCGTTTCGAGTGTCTCAGCGACATCACGCTCTCGAAAGTCCGGTCTGCATCAGCACTCTGCTTCGCATCACATTCTCTTTCAATCCAGCACGCTCAAGCTGGACCGCATATCGCTATTTCCCTTCTGACCTGCTTACGCGACCACGTTTAACAGATGAGTCAAAGACTCACGTTCGCACATTTCGCACTAAGCTGTTTGAAAGGAAGTCAACAGCGTCGTTGATGCTGGAGACATGACGGATGAGGTCTATGGGCGTCGAACATTGACACTATGCCTGCACAGGCTGCACGTGTCACGCACTTGGTCTGCCGGAACAATAATCTTATTTTGCCAAGGAATCAATAGTTGATTCAAGGTTCATGATGCTCACAATGTGATTGGAAGATACGGCTTGAAGGAGATCCTCCGTTCGGATATTGCATGCCTACCTGAATCCTTTCGAGTGTTGTTGAAAGGTTGAAAGTAGGGAGCTGTAAGGTATTATGCATGACCTAGGTGTGTTTTATCAGGTCCATCGTGTGCATACATACTTATATTTAATCTTCGAGTCCGTCTATATCACACCGACAGTGTGGGGCGCGCTGTGGACTGATCACCACGCCCCCTGGTGGTATTATTCTCGTGTCCTCGCACGTTCTCAGTCTAACATTCCCTATATTTCACGAACATTTCAACTTCAATATGCGAAGAGCTGCATGAAGTGGACATGTAGTAATTTCCTAATGCGCATTGATCAACTCTGTAAATCCCTAGTAATTCGCCCGCCGGTCTAGTAATTCGCGCGTCGGTATCAGCTGCCGTACTGCACCGATGTGGAAGCAAAACACGACTCACTGTGCACATAAGTAAGATCTGTATGCAGGTGAGTCATGTTATCAAGTCCAGGAAGATGCTGATACTTACGCATTCACTGTAATAGCATTCCGTGCTGCGGCATTGTGAGGTAGAAGTGCAAAACAAGCGACATCTATCGGCGCTAGCCTCATCACTGGTAACGGGGATGGCAGAGGTTGATAATGCTAGAGCAATAATGACGGCGAGGACGATTGCAGAGGAGAAGCGCATTGTTTGCGACTCGTGATATGGGATCAGGTAGTTCTGAAGGCGATTGTAGGAAGTCAGCTGGCTTTTATAGTCTTCTTTGGAATTCCTGTCGCGTCAATGCTTTCAAACAATTTACGATGCCAGCATATTGCCAGCACTTACTAAGGTCTATTGGCAGATGTGGAACTGCTTGAGCACTCGCATTTCCAACCAGAGTCATCTCCATATGCAACCACATCACACGACACAGGCAGAGAGAGATATCCTTATCGCTAATAATCCTAATAATCCGATCCATCTTTAAGTCCACTCTGGTTGCACTCTGGAATATATCTGTTCTGTATAGTTATCGATAAGCCAGCCTACCGAACTTCTCAGAATGGTATATACAACTTTCGGAAGGTGGTCGTCCATCCCCCAGGAACATATTGTTTTAGTTTTCGTGATCTCGAGATCTCATTTTGTCGTCAGCAATCTCTCCAAGTACCATATCACCATGTAGTTCTGTGGTCAAAAACCACATCAATTAAATTTTTACAAACAAGTACAGGGTACAAAATGCTACTTATTCATCGTGTTCCTCGATGTACTCACAAGGAGGTGCGTCCAAAGAGATCACCCCATCGACATCGTCAGTACATGGATCAACATCCGAGTTCGAGGCCACGAGATGCAGGACTCTCTTCCAATGTTCTGCGAAAGCCGCCACCAAACCTCGTCGGATGTGAGCTTGACTGCGAGCATATACAGTCAAACCTTCCTGATCCTCTGGCTGCCCGTCAGTTCGTAGGGTTTCACGGGAGTCCCAGGAGTCTCCCTGCCACCGAAGAAATACGAGAATACGTCGCATTTCTTCCAACAAGAGCTGGATCTCCTCCGACCACCTATTACGACGTGCTCGGGCTTTACACCGATCGACACGAAGCGCTACCGTAGTAGTTCAGCATACGACGACAAAAGATCGAGACCGACTCGGACCAACTTACATTCCTACAATCCCTTGACGACTCACCTGCACAGCAGGACTGGTTTATCTGCAGAGTGAGTCATATTTCTGGATGCAGTATTGGACGCGCAAATTGCTAGTGACTCGGATCGGTCAACGTGCATCAAGAAAGTATCGGCCCAATTACATACCAGAACTGGCGTGAAATTTTCGTTCAACTAGAGTCTGTAGATAAGACGCGTTACTTGAAGAATAGTAGGACTATAAAGGAGGGTGCTGAGATTAATCCACAGCGCAGCCTTGCATTGTCGTGTGACTCTTGCTCGCCGAAGATCATCATACCAAATATTATAAGTCATCAGGAAAAGCCCCGGGCAATTTCTCGGGCCATCGCGGTTGCTATTTTTAGACAATCAGGTACACGTTGTAGTTCTATCGCCGGTATACCTTCATGTCACTACCACGCAGTGACATTGCAACATTTTCGCATTATGTTGACCTCGTGCAACCATATTGTCTGAAGATTGTGAGCCGCTTGTAACATTTGCGACCATCTTGCAATACATACTCAGGCACCAGCAGCGGCTCGGGCCGTGGACTCGAAAATTTGCTTGCAGCAGTGAAAGTTATCTCATCAAGCCTTTCAACCGTGACTACCATTCTGTATTTACTTCCAGCAGGCGATCAGCACCATCAACTTACCCAAGCCATTGACTTCGGACGTCATGCCTCCTCAGCGCCGCGCACCCATTGAATACGACTGTGATGCATGTGGAGCTCATAATGTTGATGCTATTCGTTTGACGAGGCATCGAAACCAGTGCCAAGCAGTGCGCACCAGGGCCCGCCGTGCCTACGAGAAGAGCCTACAGCTTCACAAAAAGCGTCTGGCGGCAAAAGCGCGTGCAAAGGCGGAGAAATTAGCCTCTGTCACTGCGGCATCGCATCCAAATCCAACCACTCAAACACTTACAGGCCGCACTACCAGTGGCAATCATAGCTATTGCAGGGACTTGGCGGATTCAGGCGAAAGTTCTGTGAGTACCGTGCATTTGGATCGCGCTGGGCATACTGATTTTACTTATTTCCTATTAGTCAAAGACTCAAAGGGCCCTTTCGCTCCGAGTCATCCGGTCCCTGAGCCTCTACCATAATGCGATTCTGCACGTGTCACGTACTTGGTCTGCCGGGACAATCATATTATTTTGCCAAGGAATCAATAGTTGATTTAAGGAATTCACGACGCTCACAATGTGATTGGAAGATACGGTTTGAAGCAGGTCATATTGCATGCCTACCTAGATCCTTTCGAGAGTTGTTGAAAGTGAAAGTTGGAGTAGGGAGCTGCATGGTATTATGCATGATCTAGGTGTGTTTTTATCAGGTCCATCGTGCGCATGCATACTTATATTTGATCTTCGAGTCCATCTATATCACACCCACAGTGTGAGGCGCACTGTGGACTGATCTGCACGCTCCCTGATAGTATTATTCTTGTGTCCTCGCACGTCTTATTCTCAGTCTGACATTCCCTATTTTTCACGAACATCTCACGCTAATTCCAATATGCGAAGAGCTGCATGAAGTGGGCATGTAATTTCCTGATGCGCATTGACCAACTCTGTAAATCACTAGTAATTTGCGCGTCGGTGTCAACTGCCATACTGCACCGATGTGAAAGCAAAAACACGACTCACTGTGCACAGAAAGAAGATCTGTATACAGGTGAGTCATGTTATCAAGTCCAGGAAGATGCTGATACTTACGCATACATTGTAATAGCAGTCCAAGCTGTCGCATTGTTTGGAAGAGGTGCACCACGTGCGACATTTATCGGTGCTAGCCTCATCACTGGTAACGGGGGTGGCATAGGTTGATGATGCTAGAGCAGTAATGACGGCGAGGACGATTGCAGAGAAACGCATTGTTTGCGACTCGTGATATGGGATCAGGTAGTTCTGAAGGCGATAGTAGGAAGCCGGCTGGCTTTTATATTCTTCTTTGGAATCCCTGTTGCGTGAACGTGCGTGCTCTCAAACAATCTACAATGCCAGCATATTGCCAGCACTTACTAAGGTCTATTGGCAGATGCGGAACTGCTTGAGCACTCGCATTTCAGACCAGAGTCATCACCATGTGCAACCACGTATATATCCTTATGGCTAATAACCCCCAAAGTCCGATACTAGTTCCATTCACCTTCATTCACCTCCCACGGATCTCGTTCGAAACACCACAGCATTTATTTTGGACGGACTTGCAGCAATCAACAGAGCCGCTTGAGAGAGCATCGATGAACCTTGCTATACGATCCTCAATTGGTCAGAAATGTCGTTCAATTTGATCGCCACAATTTGTCAGTGGAGTACTGGCAAGAGGGACCAAACATTCCGATCAAGAACAATTAATGCCTGATCTCGCTGATGAATTCGGGTGATTCTCTGGCCCGCTTATGCACCTTCGTATACATTGTATATTCGAAATGCATTTTCCTCGATACCATCTGTCTTGGCCTCCGTCGTCGAGTTTAGGATACTAAATAAAGGGAGATAAGTCTGCGTTTAAACCATGTTTTTTACAGAGGAACACTACGGGCCAGCCTATTCAGCGGCCAGCCCAACGTTCCGAGTGCTGAATCCACAACCATTTTACTAGACCTTCGTCCAATCTACTATTTCCTGAATGAAAGTCAGTATACTAGACTTCGGATATCTCCTTCCATTTTGAAGACCAACAACGCCATGAAATGAAACAGAAGTCGCCATAGTAGTGAGGAAGGGACTGTAAATAGGAGAAAGAACTATGAACGCGCAGGAACACAGCACGACATCCAAAGCCGGCGATTATTCGTGCTTCCTTGACGTTGCATGCAAGGTGGCTGCACACAGCGAGGACCTGTGGGATACAGCGAGCCTAATTCCAATATATGTGGTGAATGGGAATGATGACAGTGCTGGTGTAGATGGGATTCGGACGTTCAGATGGGGCTCGGACATTCAGATGGGGTCGGAATGGGGATAGAGATGTCTTCAAATTGCCAAAGACCTTTCGCAATCTGCTGGCATCGCAGCTTTTATGTGTCATAACCACGAAAAATTTTCAGGAGACCTTCGAAGCTTGGTCATTCGCTTGTCATGAAGGCAGTAGTAAGCGGATTCCAGTGGATTCATGATACCATAAATCAGTATATAAAAGCAAATTACTAACCCTTCAGATTTATTTGATCCCATATCACATCCTCACACACAATGCGTTTCTCTTCTGTAATCGTACTCGCTGTCGTCGCTGCTTTGGCATCATCAGTCTCTGCCACGTCCACTGACGTGGGCACCGAGGACTGTCCTTGGTTTTGCGGGTCTGACGGAGAATGCGCAGACTGTTATTACGGGGTTTGCGTGAGTGTCAGTAGTCTTCCTGGATGTGATACACGACTCACCTGCATGGTAGAGATTTTTTCTCTGCGTAGTAAGTCGCATCTCTGCTTTCACATCAATGCAGTATAGGACGTGCATACTAGTGAATGGTCGAGTTGATCAAGATTCAACACGCATCAAGAAAATATCGGTCCAATTACTAGATATTGGAGTCGGCCGCCCGGCGCGGAATTTCGCTCAACTAGGAAGTGTCTGTTGATAGGACATGTAACTTGAAGGACACAAAAAATAGTAGCACTATTAATGCCAGTAGATCATACGATTATGAGTGTACATGCGTACGATAGAGCTAATAAAAACACACCTAGGTCCCAGACCATACAGCTCCCAACCCTGACTTTCGACTTAGACCGTTTCAGCATTGTTCGACAATCCATCTTTTCAAACTCCTTAGAGGGGGGTGCTGTACATCTGTGAAAGGTGCTGCGAATAAATAACCACCACTGTGGGCTGCGAGCGCCTCGATCCGATTCTGAATCATGCAACTAGGTGGTTGAGTTGCAGTTGTGGTTGTCCGGCGCCACCGAGTCATAGCAAGCGCAGAATCTGTAGATCGTATCGTTATAAGTTGACCGTACGTGCGTACATGGAAATCAAAGGGTAAAAAGTAAAGAGTTGAAAACACACCTATAGCGCTCGCACTTTTTTCCAATTTACACTTTAACTCTTCCAAAACATCAAATCCAGCATGATATTTTTGAGGATGAAGCATATCATGACAAGGAATTACTCCAGCGAGTTGCTGTGTTGGGAGCCTTGATAACTGCAGGTGCTGACGAACTTCCCACCCGACAGAGACGCTCCGAATGCAGACGTACCGCATCGCACATATCTCGTTCGAGGTGACCTGCTACCAAGTCCATCCATTGCAAGTCCATGGCGGACATCCTTGATGCTGGGTTTGCAACAGTGATGCACAAACCCTATTCCTAGACTCGGAGGTGATGTCTCTTCGGTGACAGAGCCACTGTGAAATCTACGTTTGAAGGCCATTTTGAATCTAGAGACCCTCTGAGACGTCCAGGTTAGAGCTAGAGTTTGGAACGAATAATCTTTGATTGACTGCTTCTCGGCACAAAAAGGTTCGGAAGTATTTCTGAAGTCTTGAACGTTTCTAAATCCCACGCAGTCATCCAGTGAAACACCAAAACATCGTCGTAGTTGAACGTGTCACGACTCACGAGTGCTTTTGGTATCGGTCACCAAATTAGTACTCTCAAGTTAGCTGGCAAGATGTGCTGGCAAGATGTGCTGGCATACTAGTATTGCAGGTATGCATGCACAACCACGTAGTACGCAAGAATTTCGACAAACAGCACATAAAAGCTAATCATCTATCTTCAGAATGATCATCGTGGCCCCGTATCACACCAGTCACAAACAATGCGTTCCTCCTCTGCAATCGTCCTCGCCGTTATTACTGCTTTAACATCATCGATCTCTGCCGTGCCCGCTCAGAACCCAGCAGGCGCCGCTTATTGTGGCGTGCCTTGCTCCGTTAATTCAGATTGCACAACTGCCTGCCCCGGCTACAAGCTATGCGTAAGTATCAAGAATTTTCCTGGATTGGATAACATGACTCACCTGCATGGCAGCTCAATGAAAACTGCGTTCAAGTGAGTCGTGTTTCTGCTTTCACGGCGATGCAGTGTATGGTCGTTGTGACACTTATTGGTGATTTGTAGGGCCATTAAATGATCGTCGATCGATACACCGTCAGAAGGTTGGCATAATTTTCTGTCGAGTAAGAAATTACTTAAAATGCTACTAATAGGTTGGTTTCCTAGTGTCGAGAGTGATTAGTAGTGTAGCAGAAACGTGACGGAATGAAAAGGTGTGCCAGAGCAAGCGTGTCAGAGACTGAGAGACGATACGAACCGTCGTCGTCGTGAACGAGAACAAAGAGACATCGTACATTCAACAAAAGTGAAAACATAAACAATAACAAGAACAAGAACACAAAAAAACTCATACAGCAGAACACGAAAATCGAAACCCGACCGCCCCCCATCAAGTCCTCGGAAACGTGTCAACAGGAATCGGCTTCCTTGGCCCCCCAGACGACTCCCACTATATGACCACCCAAAAGACATCGACAAGCGCGAGTCCTGGCGGCGGATGTATTTGGGTGTGGGTACACTGGGTGGGGAGGCGTCGTGGTAACACTATTCGTGTTAGGGGCATGTTGTACGGAATCTGTACGCGCGTTTGGGTCTGGGTGTTGGTCCGCGTTTGTGAAGTTGGTGATGCGCAAGAACAAGAGGGTGTAGATATAATCGGAAGTGGAAGAGGCGCCACCGATCTTGATCCCAACTTCAACTTTGATTTCGACACAAACATCCTGCGTAACAAATTCAGAATCATGCATGGAGGACCAGCAACGAGTCAGAATACCGTGGAACAGCTCCATCGACTGCGAAATTGGTGGGTTTCGGGTCTTGGCATGAGAGGGAGAAAGGTGGGATCGCGGCGCTTTCCTCAAACAAGCTTGAGGATGAAAAGGAGTGGGAGATCCCATATCAGATCCTCACACACAATGCGTTTCTCTTCTGTAGTCGTACTCGCTGTCGTCGCTGCTTTGGCATCATCAGTCTCTGCCACGTCCACTGACGCGGGCACCGAGGACTAGTACTGTCCTTGGTTTTGCGGGTCTGACGGAGAATGCGCAGACTGTTATTACGGGGTTTGCGTGAGTGTCAGTAGTTTTCCTGGATGTGATACACGACTCACCTGCATGGTAGAGATTTTTTCTCTGCGTCTGAAACGAACAATCTGCTTCTCGGCACAAAAAGGTTCGGAATTATATTTGAAGTCTTGAACGTTTCTAAATCCCACGCAAAGTCCGAGTCATCCAGTGAATGATTTTCTAACACCACGTACTTAGAGAGGCCCGTGTCACGAGTGCGGTCACACCAAATTAATACTCTCAAGTTAGCTGGCAAGATCTGCTGGCATACTAGTATTGCAGGTATGCATGCACGACCACGTACGCAAGAATTTCGACCAACAGCACATAAAAGCTAATCATCTATCTTCAGAATGATGTGGCCCCGTATCACAAGAGTCACAACCAATGCGTTTCTCCTTTGCAATTGTGCCTTACCATCATTACTGCCTTAACATCATCGATCTCTGCCATGCCCGCTCGGAACGCAGTACTAGACGCCGATGAATATTGTCCCGTGATTTGCTTCACTGATAAAGATTGCTCAAAGTGCGTCTTCCATCGATGCGTAAGTATCAATAATTTTCCTGGATTGGATAACATGATTCACCTGTTGGGCAGTTCGATGAGACCTGCTTTATAGACTTAGTGAGTCGTGTTTCTGCTTTCACGTTGTATGGTCGTTGTGACACTTATTAGTGATTTGTATTTTTGATCGATGCACTGTCAGAAGAATAGACTGTTTCTCGGCACAAGAAGGTTCGGAAGTATATTTGAAGTCTTGAACGTTTCTAAATCCTACGCAAAGTCATCCAGTGAATGATAACATCTCATCATAGTCATCACAAAATTGCTCAGCCCCGAAAGTCCCAGTGCGAGAATATTGCAACAAGGCAAAGTCCAATTTGGAAATGGTGTGATTTGAGAAGCGGCCGCCAAGCCTCTCCAAAGTGGTTGCCGAGTGCCATACTACCTGTACACCCAAGGGGTACAGGTGTCGCAGCGGTTATGCGGGTACTTGACGGGTAAGACACGCTCGACATCGACGGATGTACTAGATGAATAGATAGTAGTAGACGAGAAAGAAAAAATCATGCGCACCTGGAAATGAGAGAGAATGAGCTGTCCTCGCGAGAAAATATGGTCCAAAGCGCCACCTGCAAGCGTTTGCGCCATGGTGAAAGTGGTGAATGGTGGTGGCTGGGAGTGCACAAAGATGCAGGTGATGTGGCGGGCACTGATTGTGGTGCTGCGGTTGATGGTCTCAATACCAAGCGACATCGAGAAGTAGGAGGCAATAAGAGATGGGGCGTGGCATGAGAGAACAGGCGCAAGAGAGTTAGCACGAGAGAACGGGCGCAAGAGACCGGGAGTATAGATCCATAGACATCGATCGGTCCACGAGAGAACGGGCAGGCACAAGAGATAGTAACTACAGGAGTCGCAGTAAGAATATAGAAAAATGATAAAAAGTTAAGACATACCTTGAGTCTCAATGTCACCAGCATTGGTCCCTTTCAACTCCCTCACGACCTATGGTGAACTCCAGTGATTATGGAGATGCATGCATGGTTTTAGGGTGACATCACTCATCACCAAAAGTCCAAAAACCTGACGCCACCTGATTAGGATTCTGGTCCCGTGGTTGTGTAGCTCATGTATGGCAAGCACAGATCACCAAATATCACTTTCATATTTATGATCAGGGTGAATCATGCAATAGACGAAGAATGTTCAGGCTGATAAGTACATGATAAGTCAGTTGTCATAATGAAATTCAAATGATGCGCTATGATCTACTATGCTATACCACCTGCAGCTCGACTGGTGCCTGATATACCTGGAGCTACCTAATGTAAGGCCACCAGTGACTCGACAGATGCAGCAAGAACTTAGGCCCACTGGCAAGACGTTACCCTATGTTTGATGTCAGTCGTGCAAACAAAAATCCGGCAAACAACTGACCGACCTTGCACTATTCTGAGGCAGCTCAAGACACCTAAGTCCAGATCTCCAGGTGTGAATGAGGTTGTCAAACACCCAACTGCAAGACAGCTCGTCCCTCGTCAGGGACCAAACATCGCTCATTTGAAGACGTTCCTCCAATATTGGCCTCATGGCGCTAGCCAAAGTCTTGTATGGCACCCATGTGAATGATCATTGGGTCTAATGATGGCCTCGTTGGCGTTTTACATAGAGAGGGGGATTGTTGAGTTGTTGTAAGGAAAACAGTCGCTACTTTGGAGATATGGATGTGCAATGACGATTGTGGGATAGACTCGATGGCAGAAGCCAGGACAAAACCTCTGAGTGCCTGATGACAAGCTTGAGTGCGGAGAAGCAAAGTTGGTGTGAGCAAGTTCGCCAGTATAGATGGGAGCAACTCTGTGAATGCAGGTACGAAAGTTGAGGGTTGATACACAGGAAAAGCAGATATAATCTTCACCAGTTTATAAGGCGCCATATCCCTCACGTACAAGAAAATCATCGTCTAGCTCCTTGTCAACCCAAACTTCATTCTCCTCATCATTGCCCAGGTCTTCAGGGTGCACTCCCATCACTGTCATCATCAGTCCACAGCTTCATCCTCCATGTCAGACTCTTCCGAGTTAAGCTGAATGTCTTCTTCCTCATGCGATGGCACAGCACCATCATTCCGCAAAAACTCATCCCACTCTCGTGTTACTTTGTGACCAACACCACCTCCTCGGAAGCGCATGAACATATCATGATCGACAAAACTGGGTAGACATATTAGCAGAGTGATATCAATACATAGAGAACACATACTGATTCACATAGAAATACTTGAAGTCTGTATTGTCATCGTCCGTAGCACATCCAAACGAAGGCCCAAGCTGAGTGTCAGTGTGTCCGTGTTCAAATCCAGGAATCAGATGTACACCCCGAATTACTTGGTCGGGGTCTACAAAACCGAAGCCTTCAGGGTCATCATGCTTGAAAAATCCAATGCGGTAGAGTCGTTTGGCTGACCACCCAGCTTTGTATTCAATGTCACGCCCGAACCAACGAACAAAAAGCACATTCATACGAGTTGGGGCCCATGCGCTGGTGGCACCCTGAGCACGATACCAGACATCAAGATCAAAAATCTTGATGACACTGGGCATACCAATAAGGGTGTCGGTCGTCGTCATTTTCATGTGAGAGCATCAGGACATCTGCGTGTGTTCGAGGATTGATTGAGTCTTGCTCTCTTCGCATATCATAAGTTGTATAGTTGATCCATAGTACGCTGTGCTCGCGGAGTTGGTTGTTAACAATGATCACCTGATTCCTGTCCTCGTCAGAGAAATTGTGCTCATCACCAGAGTAATCTATGCCACAGAGTCGTGCCAGTAAGTGATCCTTAAGGCGTGGAATGAAGTCCTACTGTGGCCATGAAGTTAGTAGGGGGTGTGAAAATACTTTGGGTACTCACCTTGATCGCCGGGTCATCATGCTCACCAATCCATGCGAACATATCATGTGAGCATTTGGGATACTTTGATATGTGATAGTGTGCTGAGGGTGATGTGCGTTTGCGCACTTCTTGCTGTGTTACAGATGCCAGGGTCTTCTGACGTTGATTTAGCACCTTTGCAACCAGTCGTTCACGAGCTTCCAGGTGTGTCATTGTTGCAACCATAGTCTTCTTGTTCTTTGATGTCCTTGGGTACCATCGCTTGACGTGTCGATGTTCGAGTTCGCCCTAAGCAGTAATATAAGAGAATAATACTACTGGCATGATAATCAATGTGAAACATACTGGCTGTGTAGTATAATTGTCCATCGTGCCCCTTTGCCTAATCGTGTTAGCATAATCTCCCAGCGCATGAAATTTATATGTCGAGATATTGAGGGACTTGTACTTTGGTCCAGCCTTTCTCTTCCCTGGAGCGGTGGACATTACATTTTGTTTTGCAGCTAATGCAGCCTCTCGACGACTTCGTGCTGCATACTTGTCAGGAAGTTCAGTTGTGTAGTAGTAATTGCACGTAGTCTTGTAGAACTTGCGAACTGATTGACCAAGTATGACGGTGGCAATATCAAAAAAATCCAGTGTGTCGGTGGTATGCATCTGAAGCTTCGCATATGCGTGCCATGACGCTAGGTCAAAGAGAAGGTCAAGGATTATGGTATTGTGAGGCTCGGGCAATAGATTCTCGAATACAGCCATAGCACACTGACAGAAAATTCAGATGATACACGATATCAATGGTATGGCTACTGACCTGCAGAAGATCCTCGAAGTCTCGAGTGGCCAATTTTTTCATGGCTGAAGCGTTATGGTGAAAGCGACGAATTGTTCCTCTACCAAATGTAGGGACTCCTCTGTATCTAGAAAGGATATTAGCATACAGAATCTGCAAGTGGGCTAGTACCTCGGCACCAACACACCAATGCACCACATTAAAAAACGACTTACCGTTCATTTAGCTTCTGCACTGCTGTTCCTCCAGCTGCATGCAAGATTCGCATCAGGTGCGTGAAAAGTGCTTTCCAAGCACCGATCTTGAACTCATGCAGTTGGTCAACCACAAACAGTGAAAACATGTCAATGCCATGGTCTGCTAGTCGTGCAGAAAATGTGTTCTAATGATAATTATCAGTCAGTGTGAACGTTAATAGGCATATAGTAGCACTTACACGAATTGGCACATATGATTCTTCATTAAGAATCGCCTTAACACGACTGCCGTCCACTGGAGCTCCAAGTTTGAAGATCAATTTTCGAGCCTCTTCCACTCGTTGTCGTTGTCGTAGGCTATCAGTGCGCTCCTGTGCAACCCGGCGCCTCATGTCTAGTACCATTCCCATCATATGAATGTCGGTCTTCTTAACAAGACAGCAAGGGCATGGACGCTGCCCTAAAATTTTGATACTAGTGAGCAGTACCCTCGAGTAACACATCAATATCAGCCAAGTAATGTCAGGTAGGACTTACTTTTCCGGATAATCTGCAGAGTACGAGAAAAACCGAGGGAATACCCTTCGTGTAATCCCATCACTACAGTGAATAACAATACCGTGCTCATATGCTTCCACAAACTTTCCATCAAGAATTAACTCCCAAATTGCGTGAACCAACTCGCGTTTGAGGTGCGTGAACGTGCTACTTGATGCTGGTTCACCAAATATATCCACGTAAATGTCTTGTAAACTATGTGGCAGCTGCAGGTAGGTTCAGTAAAATACGTTCATAAAGAGATGTATACATACATTGGGAATATAAGCCAAGTGGTGACATGCACGAGCTGTAGGCTTTCCTCGTGTATATTTGGACTGATTACCGAAGGATAAGTAAAGTGGCCAGAGGGATGCGTCTCCAAAGCTTGCTAAGTGAGTGGCGTCTGACCAGACCATTAGTGAGGCAATGACACGCTCGAGTTTGTCATTAGGATCTCGGGGAAGAGCGTTCAGTTCTTTGTAAGCATTCACCATTTCTGGGGAGGCATAGGATTCAGAGAAAATTTCCAGTGTTCGATTATCTGGGGTATTCCAGTACTGGCGGAATGGAGTCATGTTGAAATGCAGTGACACATCATCCTCGAACACGTGTGTGATGATATCAACTAGAGAACGGTGGTAAACACCAGGGATTGCGAGCTCAGGAGCATCAGTCTCTGATGGGAACTTAGCCTTCTCATTGGGTAAGCGGATCTTGACAGTAGACCTTTGCCAGCCATAATGTTCGTGGAAGGGGTTGGATTTACCATCAAGGTAATCATCTAGCCGTTTGCTCTCGTGCGCGTGATTGAAACCAACTAAGTCAGCCTGCTTAAAACTGGGATCATGAAGGAACTCAGCAAGGCGATTGAGTTTGGTTGCTGATTTTGCATTACTGCCAGAATAGTGCCAGGCCATCAGGAGGGCTGATGACGAATTTGTGAATGCTCCAAACAGATCATCATCACTGATTTTGGGGGAGGAGACTCCAGGGTGCACTCTGTGAGGGGTAGCGCATGCACCCTCCAGGGTTGGAGCATCTGTGACACCCTCTAGCGTGCAGTTAGCTTCTGGGGCCATAGTAGGACGCATTGGATATACGCTGTACAGACCAAACATATCCGGTTGTGTTTGGAAGGGTATGAGCTGGGGAGGATCAGGTAGATCAAAGGGTGGTGGTGAGGGCTGGGGTGACGAAGCACTGTGGCTTTGGGGGGCTTCATTCTCATTACTCGAAATGCCTGCATGTCGCTGCTGAACAATTGAAGGCATGTGTGCAAGGTGTGTACGTGTGCCTGGAAGATAGTCGACAAATCAACGTGGCATGCGAATAGTGCGTCCAGAACATTTTGATGTGATCGTAGGGGCTGGAGGTACGTTTGATGGACCACCAATATTCTGAAATCGGTAAGTGCACTGTAAGATTTGGCTCTAACCATCCAGACAAAACATACCTGATTTACTGCAGCTGTATCATCATCCACATCTATCTCGCCATTATCCATTGCCCTTGCTTCATCATCCCTCGCTTCCTGCATCACCTGCTCCTGTTCAATCCGAGGCCGTTTCGACCTCCTTCCATCGTTAGACTTGTGCCGTTTGATGGCATGGTGTAAAATGTCCGAGAGCTTCAGAGCTTTGTTCTGCAAGCAGCGGGAACGATGCCCAGAGAGTGATCTTTGTGTATAAAAGGTCTTACCACAGGCAAGGCAGGGCTGCTCCATCTTGATTGAAGAGTTGAAGGGCTCAGACTCGGAGTGATGCGACTCGGACAGCAGCTGACAAACTTTGGACTTGGAACTATTGGATAAGGTTCAATGTCAGTCTGGGTCGGATCAAAGCAGATGATATTAATATTAAATATAGATATTATATGGAAGCGTCAGCCAAGACAAATAATATTTAGCACTTCGCTCTCAACCCGAACTTCAGGACACATCAATACAATCTATGCCGATGGCTTGTAGGATCTAGAATGGCAGTGCCAAGGAGTGTAAGTAGGCGAGTTGGGATCAAGATGAAAATAGGGACTGACCTGTGCTTCTACAAAGCGACCGATGCAAACTTTTGACATGACAGGAATAGTTACCATATCAATGATGGACTTGATCACATCTGTAGCGCTAGTCTGGGGACCTGATGCAGCCACCACTGGACTTGCCAGACTGCGGTCAGCCTTTGATCAACAAGTCATCCACAGTCAGGATGCCCGAAGGTCTGAGTAGTTTGGACCAGGTGAGACAAAGCGACATTCGATATGAGAGACATTAAATTCGAGGAGCAAGGTGAGCGGTGATGCGCAGTAATAATAGTTGGAGTGAAACATATGCCACGCGCAATGCGTGCTCCGCATCCATAGCAATAGTCTGAGTACCTGAGGTAGCCACTACAGGACTTGCCAGGCTGTGGTCAGCCTTTGATTGGCAAGCCGTCCACGGTCAGGATGCCCGAAGGTCTGAGTAGTTTCATCCAGGGAATACCGAGCGCCGTTGAACACGAGAGACACTCAAGATCGAAACAAAAGGTGAACATGCACGCTCCACATCCATAGCGCCAGTCTGAGTACCTGAGGTAACCACTACAGGACTTGCCAGGCTGCGATCAGCCTCTGATCGGCAAGCTGTCCACGGTCAGGACGCCCGAAGGTCTGAGTAGTTTCATCCAGGAAGGACCAAACACCATTGAAGGCGAGAGAGATTCAAAACCGAAATGAAAGCAGGATAGGTATGTACGAAGGAAACATTGAGGCCGCAATTGAGGGCAAAAGGGAAGAGAAGTCGAACCAAAACAACATGTGATGGTGTCTGGCGTCGTCAGGAATTGGCGCGTACGCGGCGTTACGATACCATATCAACGATGGACTTGATCATGGCGGGGTCACTCTAAATGGTGGAGATGGATTAATGAAACAGTGTTTGAAAAAGGAATAAAGACGTACCATGCGTGAAACGCCCCCCACATTGCGAATATCTGCATGCGCTCGCTCAGACAGAGGGCCAAACATTTATGGTGATGAGTGGGGTTGTTGATGGGACGGGAGAAGCGCCTGGTTGACGAGAGGGGTGAGAACTAATGCCAATGGCGACCATGCACAATTGGGTATCTTCGTGTGCTTTGAGGGTGGGATACAGGAATGGCAGGAAGGCTTGAATGTATGGTGCGAATCCGGCCCGGATTTGAACGGAGCACATTCTCAGCACTGAAATGACACTGAGAGAGAAGACAACGTTAGTGTTGATGATGCAGATGAATTGAAGGGACAATCTCACCTCGCGACCTTGGGTAGCAGCAGTCGCTGGTCAGGACGTAATCTAGATGGAGAGTGAGCTAAAAAAAACGGTCAAAATACGTGGAAGGGGAAGTGGTGTTCCACCACTCAGCCTCGGGGCAGGGACGGGCTATACCGGGCTTCATAGGGAGGGGAGTTCAAGCAAACCGAAAAGAAAGGACGCTCACCGATATTACAATGTTCAGTGCCTTGCTCCGTCCCTCAGCCCACAGGAAACAGCTCAAAGACGAGCTCCTGCATACTCGGAGAGAGATGGAAGAGGCTGCAAAAGCTGAAGAGATGCGCAAGCAGGAGGAGGCCGCCGCCGCCAAGAAAGAATTGCACATGTCGAGGATGGAGTTTCTGACGAAGTCCAACATTTTGCATGTGACTTTTTACAAGTCCGCCGGCAAATTCCGGTAAAGGAGCAAATCAAGCACCTTTCCATTGTTTGAGCCTATGTTGTTCTAGAATGCCTCATGTTCCCTTTGTCTCTGTAGTTCGCAAAAACTTCTTATGTTCTCCCGCTGATCGTGTCTCAGCATCTCCAAGGCCGTTATGCCATATCCCTCCTCTCTCTACCCACAGCTGACAACTTCTGCCTCAGGCGGAGGCAGCTGTGGTTCTACATGTGCCTGCCTCAGGCAGGCGCTTGTATGTCCATGCCTGTTTGTCCTTCCCTGCCACCCGTGCCCTCGTTCTTGCTGTGTCTGTCAACTTTCTTCCTTCACTCACTTTCTATCTTGCTGATTTTGATTTGTGTGGCAGGTGTTGCACGTGCTTTCGAGTATGCGGCCATTTTGGGCCGTCAGTCTCTGCATTTCTTCGTGCACCTGTCGACTTACGCCTTCAACAGGAATGTCATGAACTCTGTCCCATTCCGTCATGTTTATCACTCCCTTTTCATTATTTTGTCTCATTTTCATCACCAGTACGTTCCCTTCATGCTGAACCTCATTATTCTCTGTAGGATTGATCATTTCCAGTAATAGGTTGGAAGGTGCATTCGAGCTCGCACACTCGATAAAAATCTTGTACAGCGTAGGCCAGTGCTGTTGATGAGTTTGGTATGCCAGTTGCTGTCTTCTGCCATTTGCTTGCGAGCATCGCAAAGGTGTGTTGTCCTCTTTGATTGACCCAATGATTGACGTCTACATCCACCCAATCCTTTCAGCATGTGACACCGTCCTTCAATGGGATTTTTCACCTCCCTTGGCTCTGAATCGTTAGTGGCGTATAGCAGTCCGAAGTATATTTCCTTGTAAGCCTTATTTTTCCTCAGCTTCAGTGTCGAGGCTTTGATTTGTGATTATTACTGACTGGTTTGTGTTTGCAGATTATGCCCTCTTGCTCCTTAATTTCTTTTAATGTGCTCGGCATCTTGTGTGGAGGCACCGGTGTGTTCTCCTTGACTACTTCCGTGCGAAATGGACAGTACTGATTACTGCATTCCCTCGATACCCTCTATTCTAGATCATTATTTTTCAGGCATCTTTTCACCGAGAATCACGTGTCTCAGTCCCGTGCGATGAATTCTTCGCGTTCTTGGATACTCTGCTCAATACGTCACTGGCCCACCTGCGTGTGCAACTATGTACACTCAATGGTTGTCAGGGTTTGGCGTTAGCGCAGACTGTCTTTGAAGCTTGACCTGCGAAAGGATCCGTTTACTCACAGTCAATTGTACACAGCGTTGTCGAGGGTCAGAACGTGAAGAGATATGCTGTGTCTATTTGCGGAGATGAACGAAGGACAAGACTGCAAACATTAAGTATTCAGTGACTTGCTACTGTAGACACCGTTGATTGGAAAACAGATGACCGAAGGCGTGTCCTTGTAGAAATAATGATTAGATGGTCATTCATTGCTTAATGTTAACATTTAACGTTGTAACTTTTAACCATCATGTTAGAAAGGATAATGACAAGGAAAAGTAAGTTTCTTTAATACTCTAGACATTTATTCTAATGAGACTCGGACACCTGAAGAGGTGCTTTAACACCGTGGGACCAATGTCTCCACTTTGCTTGGTGGATCCTGACATGTTCTGCATCTCTCTTAGCTAACATGTGCGTGATATTTTTTGCAGTTTCATGACTTTATTACTACTAACAGTGACTAGATCCAAAGACACGCAGGACCAGATGCTCTGGATGTTCAAGAAGATCATTACAGGTGCCCCTTACCTTCAAGAACCTGTAAGAGGTTAGACGCCGGAATACAGACCCTGGTTGGAGGTTTAGAACTGTGGCGCGGATACTTCCAGTAAGCTCAGGATCTCTGTAGCGACACACATTTGACCAACATACAATAGGAGTGTTCACCCTACTAGTGGAAAGAACATTGATGTGTCGACAGTGGTTATGTCACGGTAAGGCAGCTCAAGCCTGTCTCAATGATCACTACACATTAACACTCATGAAAATCTCAGGTTCAAGCAGGGTAGCTTTCAGACCGCCACTCTTGCTGTTCTCAAGCAGAATGATGCTCATGCACTGGACCTCTGCCCAGATTCGCTGCAGTTCAGGCAGTTGAAGAACTTCTTCAAGGGTGTTTCTGTTAGGCAATGACAGGGGTACTGGCCACCCGCACGGGTCGCGGGTAAGGGTACCTCGTGGGTAGGGGTGGGGGTATGACCTTTGGACACCCATACCCATACCCGTACCCTTATAGTGGGTAGTCACTTGTGTCATAACTCATCACACTTGCGGTCTCTATTGTAAATTGGTGAGTATTATTTCATCTATATACATTGTATGGACTTTGCTGAGCGGACGTCTCGTTTCTCTTCTCTTTGGTAGCATAAATGTCCGCGTCCAAAGTCCATGCGTGCTAGTCATGGAGAAGGACGACGCGAGTGGTGCGTCATCTTTGGCTTCTGCATTGTCCATGCTGTCCTCGGCTGCAGCGCCACCACATTCTTCTTCTTCTGCGAACACCGGTCCGAGTCAGTGGAGGTGGTGAGTCCTGGTTGCAACTCCTTTGTGGAGGAAGGACGATGAAGGCAAGACCGTTTGCAACGCGTAAGTTCTCATTTGTTGTTCCTTCTATATTCGTACCAATCTCTTATATACATACAGATGCAGCCTCTACTATAAGCTTCACAGCTCTGCTCGTCCCATTAGTATGAAATCCGATATTATTCGGAAGCGCTCTCGACACAACGCTCGTGCGCAGCGCTCCTCCCTCACCGAGCCCCCAAGCGCATCTAACATGCCTGGCACTCCTTCTGTTATGGAGGAGACAGTTTCAGAATGGGTTCTGGTGCGACAAGCACAGGTACTTCTTCGTCTTCGCGGCGCAGCAGCATGGACTCATCTGTCCACACAGTCGATGCAGGCACTGTTGTGCCACACCCGCCACTATACTACCCACCAACCCACCATGAGACCCGCACCCGCCATGGGGGTGTGGGTATACCTGCGGGTGCAGGTGCGGGTGCAGGTGATGCTTGCAACACCCATGGGTACAC